TTTATTCTGAAAACATTATCTTGTGTCTACAAATAATATGTACTTATTTATTTTTAAACATTCCCCGTTTAAAAATTCTGTGTAAGCCATATTTTTCATTGATACGTTTGATAAAACTATTTATAATATATTATGATGGACTTAGTTTTATTAAATATTTATAAAAATTAACAAACCAAAAAAAAAATATTTATACAAAATTCAAATTATAACTGTTTATGATTAAAAAAATAAATCTATAACCTTCAAAGAACATTTACTATTGCGAATTTTAACTTTTGGTAAAATATAAGTACAATTTTTATATGATAACTTGGAGTATCATTTGTTAAAATTATATACTTTATAAAACATAAAAAAATAATAACTTATGTGTCATCAAAGTCATAAATATATTTTGACACCAACATGTTAAAATCACTCACGTGAAGGACAGAAATAACGAAAATTAGAATTTTTGTAACTTCCCACACACAAATTGATAGGATGTTAATTTAATCAAATTTTAGATATGTTAAAAATAACAATTTTTATGCATTCTATTTATATTTCACATTCCTTATAAACTTGTACATCAATCGGACTTACCATAACGTTACAAATTGTTAGTCATCCATTATTTTGGATATTATTTTTAATTTAATGAACGCATTTTTATTTAATTAAGTATATTTTATTTAATGACGGTCCGTGATTTAAACAAAAGCCAGATGCAAGGGAATTATTACTCATTATTAAGCCTCTGCCTTCGCCTAATAACATAATATATAATGTTATTCACACAAACATAAAATTTTCTGTATAAATCAATATTTGACGGTGCAGGTAAACTGCATGTACGTAATAATATCGCTTAAAGAGCTATCTAACGATGCCATACCGATTGAGATTTGAATGGTACATTTAACTACTGGGTTATAATACTTCTAGTACAAACTAATTTCAAACCAACGGCCTTTAAATAATCAATAGATAACAAGCAGATTTGAATAATCTATAGCTTATGGGGAGAAGATGGAAGAACGTTTTCAATAAATTGATTTTGAACATTTTAATAAATGTATTTCCGATCTCGGACGAGACACTAGGGGAAAATATTGTCGAATATTCTATAACGTAAATTATAACGAAACGTGTCAAAAGCATATTGACATATTATTTATTTTTAGCTAGGTAAAAATTAATTAAACTGATGACATCGAGTAAACTAAAAATGTCGGAATGACCATAATGTTTTGGATTGTTACACTAATGAAGAATACCTAAAAATATTGATTAAAATGTATTAGTTTTGCACTTTGAGAAAACACTGCACGCTATAGGTATTGATTCTAGGTACCTATACAAATCATATCAAATTAAATTATGTTGTCGTGGCTTAAGGTATTAATCTTGAATGTGTTATGGCACAATGTCAAATGTTATATATGAAAGGCAGACAGATAAATCTAACGTACAATATTTATCTGATTCACGATTAATAAACTTTGTCATTATTAGCATGTCAGTGGTATCAAATATCCACGAAAGAACAATTCAGCAAATTATCTTCATAAACATTTTAATCACAAGACTAAGCAATCTAAAATGGCGTTGTACAACATTTAGCTGTTGTTTTAACGTGACAATTAATCATTTTATGCTCTAAAGTCCTAAAAATAAGTTTAACTAAAAATTTAGTCACAAACATTCTACTTTGAAAATATAATAATATTATAAGTATAAATTATCAGAAACGTTATTGTAAAAATATTTTATTAAAGAAGTCAGTTTATTTAATAGTTTTTGGTTCTGTATCAATAGAAATATTATCAGAAAGGAAATAACTTGTATTAATTCAAAATAAAAGGCATGTTCAGAATAAATTGTGTAATAAAAAAAAAAAAAAAAGTAATAATATATTATTAATTCTGAAACTGAGTACAAAACAATAACAGAGATATTATAATATGAATTAATTTTATTAATGTGAATTAAAAATTCAATTTTTATTAAAATTACTTTCTTATATTTGTAACGTAATATTAACTGTAGTAGTTTAAAGAAAATGTATAGATATTACTTTACTAATTTAATAATTATTAATGTATACGTTTAGAACAAATTAATTTTATTTTTATTTAAAATAGTAAAAACTGCATGTTCAAACCTTTTAAAATTAAATTCAAGAATATTTTATTTAAAAAAAAAAAATAATCATTTTTTTTTTTTTTATAATCAATTATGGTATTTTTTTACTTTATCACTTTAATAATATAATATATGATTGGATTTTCAAGTTATTGGAATACAAAGATTTTAGATGCATAAATAATGTTTATATTTCTGAAGTTTTTGATACTATCCATTATTATTTAACATTTTAATATAATATATGATTTGGAAAATAGTGACCAAACCAGTTAAGAAATTCCATAATAATTTCATGGCATTAACTTATTTTAAGTTTTAGTTTTAAAACATTTAGAATTTTTTTGCAGTTTTTGTATAATTTATATCGAATACAAAATTAAAAGTTTCATTATCTATTTGAGAGAAGCTATTTTTATTTCTATGTGAATTTCATAAATGAATAATTCATAATATGAACTAAATTATAATGTTTAGTAATAACTAATAGATTAAAATTATTCCAATTGTATTTAATAACTTGGATGCATAATGATAACGATGGTATAAATTACAAATTAGATAAACGGTAAAATAAAATATTAATCTAACAATTTATGATAAAAACTAGAACAAATTATTTTTATTTTTAATATTTAAAAATATTATAAACATTGAAATCCTTAAAAATGTATAAAAATCGAATTTTAGTATAGGGTTTATATAGATATATGGATATTCAAACTATAAAAACACCTATTGTGCAATTCATGTATATCATCATCAAAATTATAAGGAAAGATAGTGCAAGAAGGTTACATAGATGTCACACCTTGATTACGACCTAGATCAATGTTACATTCGTTTGTATCTTCTAATTACGATTCAATAATTTATTACTATCATGTCATTATTGTATATATTATAAATGTGACGATAGACAATATTCTTTATAAACTGATAGGTATTCATGTTAATGTATAAACGAGTTTTTAAAACAATTTTTAATCTCTAGTTTTGTGTGAAAAAATAATGAATACATTAGCGTATTATTCAATTATTTCCATTAATAAATATATTATTACGCCATTATTTATTGAACAATTTGTCTTTTGATAAAATTATAGATTACTATTTAAAACGTATCAAATCATAGTTCTACATAATAATTTATAGGTATTATAATAATTTATAATAGTATGTACTATACAACCGTTTATAATCATCAGTGCCTATATTAACAATTGTATTACATTTGATAAAAATATTTGTTAATGAATTAATAATTAAAAGAAGTATTATATATATATATATTGGATTAATAAAACAAAAATTATTATATCTTACTTTAAAAACAGTAAATAAGTTAAGTTAAAAAATAATAAATTAATAAAATAATAACGTCATTAATTAAAATAAAATATACTGATTATTTAAAAATGAATCAAAAAAATTAATTATGATTATTGATTAATAAAATATAAAATAAAAGGTATATATTATTACCAACCAAAATTAATATCTTAAAAATTAAAAGTAAATTTAATATTATTTAGTACCTTTATTATTTCGTGGTTAACTTTTCACATGTGTGAAATAATACTTTTAATACAAACAACATTAGAATTTTTTTTTTATTTCTAATTTGACGTCTTCCGCTTAGTTTTTACTCACTATGTAAACTATAAAATAAATATGCCGAATTATCAACTATTTTTTCGTAAAAGAAGCTAGTTAAATTCAACTGTAAAACTATTTTGTTGATTTTTGTTATTTTAACTATTCGTGAATTTATATGATCATATTATATTTTTATAGATATAAATTTATTTACTGCTAAAATAGGCTATTTTAAATTGCATGACTTAAATGAAAAAAAACAACTTTATCTAAGTTATTGTTTAGTCTATCTGTGTAAATTCTAAAATACCTAAATTTTGTTATCATACAAGAAACCTGGTATTAGTTATATGAGCTATTTAAAAATATTTATAAAAAATGCATATCTACTATTTTATTTTGTTCTATTGTTTAATATAAATAGAATTTCGTATATTTGCGTTAGTTTCTATTAACTAACAACATACAAAATAAACTTTTAATATTTAAATGTTACTCATGTTTTTTTTTATATTGATATTTTTACGTATGTAATAATAATATACAATTCTAACGAAATAATTGATCAGTTATAATTACTTAAGTTTGATAAAGTAAACAAGAATTTTTTTTTTTCATATTTTTCATTAATATTTATTTAAGTAAGCTATTAAACTAGGTATTTTATGATTATAGGATATTATTCTATAGGTACTTAAATAATTTAAAAATAGAAGTAAATATAACATTTTATTAAAATAATATAAAATGTATTACAATTCATCTTACAATTATTATGATTTAAAGTATTAAAGATTATCTATTTTTAAAATGTATACCACACTTATACTAATTGATTAAGTATTTTTATATTTGTTAAAAGCTGGTTTTAAACATACCAAACTAAGTAAGATTAATGTTTTATTTTTTAAACCTGTGGAATATTTATAAATTATAAGTTTTTAGTATTTACTCGATAATAGCATAAAGTTTCTATAAGCTATAAAATCGAATATAATGCCGAAAACAAATAGGTAGGTACAAGTAAAACAAGTGAAAAACTATAAATCGTTAAACTATTAAAAATATTAATTCATACCCGGAAACTAGCTTATACGTGTGTGATATAAACATAATATCAACTATCTTAAAAAAAAAAAAAAAAAAAAAAACAAACTTTTTCGGGATATCGTTATGTTGTATTATTGATTTTTTTTTAAAATCTTTGAACGATAAAAATCCTAATCATAAATGTTTTAATAATATAACATAGATAAAGGATAGGTACTCACGTTTGTACGCGGTTTCAGAAACATCTCGTGTTGCAGGCGCATGGCGTCCGGATGCTCGTATGGGTTATCCTACTGGAACCCGAACGGCCGGAGCTATGTTGCGTTCGCGTACGTGAACGTGTATATTTTATTGTAATGTAATGTGTGAGACGACGCGGCAGACGAGAGTGAACGTGTACCTCAGTGTGTGCGCGATAACAATCGCGGGTTCGTTGTTTGCGGACTGGTTTGTTCCGGCGTAAAGAGTACGAATCGTTGGTGTTTCGGTCTTATATAGCGAAAGCCGGACCGGTCTGCACAGGGAGACTTTAACGCCGCCGTCGCGGTTAAAAAGAAGATGATGGCGGCGGTGGTACGAGCGAAACGAAAAAAAAATCATACGATAAAAACCGTATTACATTAGCTGAGGGTTCAGCGGTCAAGGCCCAGCGGATGCCACGTTGACCCCGGACACGGATTATTTTTTTTTTACACGTTTGATGGAAACTGGAAATCCCAGATATAGTTGAATGTGATTATTATATTTTGTATGCACACGCGTGGTATAAAACATATTTAACAAAATAATATATTTACATACCTACCTACATAATAATATCATATCAATACTCACATAGTCGTGTACAGTTATCAGTTGATAAAACGTAATCGTATTATTATATTATTATAGTTCTACGTGTAAATATATATACATGAATATATTATATACCTAATACTTATACATATTATATAAAATTATATAAATCGTCTGTAACATGTGTGTATATTATATATTTAAATAGAACTCACCGCTGAACTATGCTTTTATGTGTGCCAAAAAAAAAAAAAAAAAAATTAATTGCTTCGGATGAAAATGATTAATAAACGCATATACAGAATAATAAAATTTGGTATTTAAATATAGGAATTTTCAGCTAGTTACTTGTCTCTGAGTAATAAACCTTGAATTGTATTTATGTAACGTTATATTATCATACATGAGACTACTGGAGAGCAATATTAGCAATGACTATTGTCATAATTTATCGTTCTGTTCAAAATTCGAATAACATAATAGTGGTTAAATTATTTATCCAATGGAATGCAAGTTTTTGTAAAACTCTATAAATAATATTATTATCAAAATGAAGAAGTAAAAAAAAATTTAGTTTATTTTAAAACCCAATATTACAAGTTCTATCACATCATAGTATAAAATATAAAAATAAAAAACATTCTAATAACTATATCAATTATAAATTGATTTCACTAAAATTAAAATCGTGAATGATCTTAAACATTTATACATGCCATATTTGTCAAGATTTTTTTGAAATATAGAGCTAATACTTAAAATATTACTATATAACTTAAGACTTACCTATATAAAAATTTCAAGTTTCCTTAATCAGATAACAAAAAACAATTTCTAAAATTTCAATAGACATATTTTTTAATTAATACGTTCGCAATATTTTTTTTAAATTGAATCAGAATCTTAAAGTGTTAAACTAAAAAATTGTTTAATATTTCAATAAAATATTAAAGATTATATGGAAATATATTTTAATAAATAATACAATATTATAAAAAAACATAAAATATATTTTCTTGATATAATCTGTGATAATACATATTATCAAGTTTAATATTTTCTAATTTGGAAAAAAAATACTATTATTCAGATATTTTACGTTGGTTATACAAATTTTCACTGCACTTTACTTATTTTTTTTTTCAATTACAAAAAAACTCAATACTGTGTAAATTTGTGTATAATTTATAATCTATAAGGTTATTTCAAGTTTTTGAAGAAGCACTAATTTTGTAAAAAGAAAAATGCGCAAAAAACAAATAAAAAATATATCTGAATAAAGTTTTTTGATTACACAACATTATTTGTCAAATTATTAAAAAAGCTTAAAGTTATTACCATGGTCACGTTTTATTAGAGCTAAATATAATAAATTAATACTACAAACATAATTGTACACATTTCATAATTGCTATTTATTAAATCATTATATAAAATTATTAAAATTGTAATTGTTTATCTAGGCTTACGAAAAATAAGTATTACAATTTTATCGTCAGTTATTAATAATAATAGCCAGTTAATTTAAAAGATATTGCTTCATTTTTTTAATTCTATTAGATTTTATATTTTTATGAATTTTATTAATTTTATATTCGCGTGCGTTTCTAATTACTTATTTAAAATAAAAGGCATGATTCAAAACATTGTTTGCGTGATTTTTCTACATTGAATTATTTGCTACGAACCTCTTTAATAAATCAGTTATATGACATCGTTACATAGTTTCAGATTTCAATATACCATAAAATAGTAAAATGTTAATCCATGTGTAGATTAACGTTATTTCAACTTATTTTGAACGATTATTAAGATTCTTAAGGCTTTATAAAAATAAAAATAAATGTACCTAACCGTAAATATAGCAAAACTCTTTGCATGCTGATTTTTGACTGAAAAATGTATATTATTCATGTCAAATACAATCCGTGACTTTTTTATTTAAGTACGTAAAATGTTCTTATATATATGTTATCAAAATAATTTTATATTCTGGAATTGCGCTATAAAAAATTAAAATAATTACTATTATTTTATAAAATGAATACATTTTTGCTTTTAAAATTACTTTTTTAACAATATAATATAATACATTGGAAAAGGAATTACTAATAATCATTTACATATATCGTAAACTATAGTAATATAATTGATCATGTTAATTGAGTATAACAATAATGTTTAATTGAGTTTAGCATGTTAATTCACCGAGCATGTGAAAATACCTATGCGTTTAGAACACGTAAGAAATAACTACATTAAATATGACTATACGTTTATAACTTGTAAAACACACATTCAGTAGGTAACCTATGTTAACAGAATTGTAACGTGCATTGTATTTTAATAACTTGTTGGAATAGAATGCATCTAGAATATATTAAAATATATATATTATGCATACAACTTTTATGCACATATAATTACACAATTACAAATATTAACTAATATATAATTTATAATTGCCAGATATTAAACTCGCAAATTCATTCGAGTGAAATATCATTGGGATACTATACTTCAATGAAATAAGTACAACGCGGACACAATATTTCACATATTTTGTCACTTGAAGCATGCTACACAGACATTTACTGACACGCTCCACAAACTAGCTAACGGTGAAACAATTAGTAAAATATTTGCTCTGTTTTTACATTTATGTAGATTTAACGCCAAAAAGTAGAATACGTAAAATCATCATTGTTATTGAATAGAATGAGAATATCTTTACATTTATTATCTTATGGTGGATTTTTGATGTATTAATTTAAAACAAAGTATAAGAACCTATACATTTTTTTAAACTTTTTTTTAATATAATATTATAATTTATAATCAATAATATCAAAATAAAATATTATAATTAAATAATGTAATGTATTAGTTGTTAATAAATTATTATTTTTGTGATTGTATGTTTGAATATTTATTTATTTTTTTTTATGTAATATTCTAAAATTTGAAAGGAATAATCTTTGAATAAATACCAAATATGTGATTTTATGTTTATTGTGAAGTACTAATCAGTAATCATTAGACGAACAGTCGCGGAAATCAAAGCTATAGATTAAGCTGAGATTATTTTTGGAAGCATCTAGACAAGTTATCTTCGTGACTTCATCATTACATAATTTATTTTAATGTCATTATTTATTATTTATTATACATATTTTTTTATAGGATATAGTCTTATAGAATTAAAGCCAGATAAATCACATATGTTGAACTTTAGAACATTCGCTCATCTCGGCATAGAGTAGCGGTGAATTATTGCAGATTTGGAAGCAATAATAAACTATATTTTAATTCTGAAAACGATGTTTAGTTGTGTGTCATCAATTTTTTTTTACAGTTCAGTAATTTTTTTTTCATACCAAAAATAAGTCTAACTATTATAAATTGATTGAAAAATTACCATCTAGATCGATTTTTGAGTACACGAAACTCACTGAACTTATTGAAAAAGTTTCTACGGAAGATGATAAAAATGATCATTATAAAAAACAATGAAACGCTTTGCCCATTAAAAAAAAAAAATAATAATATTAATCACATTGAATATGTTAAATTACAATTAAAAAATATTTGAAACAATAATATATCATATACTTTAATAATTTATCAGTATATTTTAATCTAAATTATAAATTGTCTTGAAATAGCGCTTTGGAATTAACTACATATAACTGAATTATTGTTATTTTACATAGGCCAAGTTATATTTAATATACTAACATAATATAGTCTATATTCAGGTTATCTATAATATAGAACTATACATTGACCATTTTTTTTGCCAAGACATGTTTTCGTATCGTTTAACAATATATATATATATATATATATTTTTTTTTAAATTTATCTATTAGTCACTATATAAGTGATTGTTCACTTCTCCAATAAGTCATTGTTTATAATTTATACTCATATTTGTCTTTGATTCTATCTTTGTATTCATTGCTTAAGTTTTATAAATACTAGTGTTAAATGGTTGCAACAACATAATGGTTTCAATGGTTAAATAATTATTTTATGAGTGGTCACGCTGAAATAATATGATAATAAAAAACTAAAAAATAATAATTTATTTGTTTTAAAATATTCTGGACGGAAATACAGATTTTTCATTATTTATTTTTTATTTCAAAGGTAACATTGATACTAAAAATATTTACCATCTATGTGAACAAAACTAGTTTTTGACGGCCTCTATAATAATTTTGTGTTGAGTATTTGTTCAAGGGCGGATGAAATTGAAACCGCCGTTGGATTCTAGATTTCAATCGAGATTTATGAATTCAATATGATAGAAATTTTTACTCAGTATCATCATTTGAAATAACATTATTAATTAATATCTACATCAAGATGTTTATCAAGCTAATTTTTGTTCCTTGATTTTTAGCTCTACAATAAATTAAAAATACATTTTTCTAGGATTTGCTCAGTACAAAATGTAAGTAATAACAAAAAATTATGTGTTAATTTAAAAAGTGGATTTATTCTTGTCACAAAAAAAAAAAAAATGTTTTAATAGTCTAATGAGCTAAATTATTCTTAAAAATGTATGACCATACGTGATATAGTTAAATTTAAAAAGGTTTATTCAAAGAAATTGTACGAATCAGCTATATTTTAAGCTTATAAAAACATGACAAAT